TTGAAAACCCTTACAGGCCACTTCATTTGCCATACCAATGTGTGCTTTCTATTGGAAACTTTAGTTTATCAAGTAATATTGTTGCCAGATCTAAAGCATCAACTCTTCAAATTGTATCTGAGGATGTAACTTTCTATATTTCCGCTCGTTTGTCTAAATCAGAACATTTAGATTTAGTGTCTCATTATGTTTGTGTAATGGACTTGGGAGTTTTTGAACTTTCTTTAAAGCTTAGCAAAACCCCTAAACAATCAAATGATTTAGTGCAACCTAAAGTTGACTTAAGAATGGGTGTCAATGTTATACACATTAGAGTTTGTGCAGATTCTGCCTTTGCTTTTTGCCGTATACTTAGTTATTTGGCTTCTGATGGTGATAAAAGTTCTGTAGAAGAACAAGCAACTGAGTTTGAAGGAGTTGATCAAGAAGATCCCATTTTGTTAGACCAAGCTGATTCTGACAATAATTCGTTATCAAGTCTTATAATGGAAGCTATGCATGAAGAAACTACAGGTTTAGAAAAACCTAAGAAAAACCCAGTAGATCCAATTAAAAAACAAAACTCAAATCATCCAACTTCTAGTCAAAGTGATAAAGGGATTGAAGTATTTTATTTTCCGGATGAAACCAATAAAATAGTTTCCCCTTTGGATAATGAACCATTACAATATGAAGTAGAAGATGATTTTATTGATAAAGAATATTGCTTTGTGGAACATGAAGTTGGTTCAGGATTAATGGTATGATTTTAGATTTATAACAAAATACCTCAAATTTTGAATTATTAATTTTCATTAATTGTAATTAGCCTCGAAGTAACATACCAGAAGTGCGTATGTTAATAGACACACAATTACGTTTGGTTGACAACTATTTTAAAGCTCCTGTTGGAAAAATTGATATGCTCCAAGCTCCTAAAGAATATCCGACTCCAGTAATTAAATATACATTACGAGAAATGACTCTAATTTTGCATATTTATGGTGGAACTGATTTTAGTACTAAACCTATCCATAATGAACTGACAAAACATGTCACTATAGTATCAGAAACGTAAGTAAATTTGATTGAATATTAGATTATTAAACAACAATTGATTGAATTAATAAAATGGTGGGTATTTTGTTAAGGAATTCTTGTCCAACTTCTCCTAACACACTGAGGCCTTCTCTTTCTCGATATTATTCTCAAGCCAATATAAACTCACAGGTATTTGATTATTATTTTTTAAAATTATGATTTATATTATAATTGTTAATCTTTTTTTTTATTAGAAAAATCCTACTTCAAAAAAAGGATCTAATATAACTCAAGCCAGGACAAGATTTTGCTGTAGCGTTTTACCTACCAGTTGGCAAGCAAAGGGTGGTACCGGACGACAACACCATGTATTAATGCAACTACAATTGAACAAGGTATGTTTTTAATATTGTATTAATTAGAAAACAAAACTATACAATTTTGTTATTAGGTACGATTCCAGCATGAAGTTTATCCACCCCATACAAAACAAGCAATGAGGCAAGTGATTCTGATTCAAGACTTAGAAATTCGCGATAAACTTGCATCATCTAACATCAATAAATTTTTATATCTTTACTCAAGTGAAGCTATGCCCAAACAACAGAATGCTAATATGGTAAGTGATGTCTATAGGTAGTTTTTTTTCTATAAAAAGTGATTTAAATAAATATGTTAATAGTTTGTTGCCAAAGCTGTCCACATGCGTCCTGATTCCAATCTAAAAGTTGAAGAATGTTGTGTAAAGGTGTCTATGTTGCCATTAAGACTTAACATTGATCAAGATTCATTGATATTCCTGATCTCATTTGTAAATCAATTTAATGCACTTGGTCAAAAAACCAAAGATGGTATTATAACATCTCTATTTTAATAAATTGTGATTGTTTTGTTTTAAACTATGTCGTTTGTAGAAATACCGGCTGAAAAGAAAATGCCCACAAAATCTGAAGAACCAATTATGACATTAGGAAATACAGCTGATGGCCAGCAAGATATTGCACCTAATCCATTGATTCAGTTAAACGACGAATTTGATCAGCATTTTGGACTAAAAGATATACCTGTTATTCCCAAACCAGACACTGGCAATAGTTCAAGTGACAGCAGTAAAGCTCCTGTTTACATAAGACAATTTGTGTTTTCTCCAGATGTTACTATACGTTTGGATTATGAAGGACGACATGTTGATTTGAGACAGGGTTCATTGGCCGGTTTACTAATGGGATTAGCACAGCTCAACTGTTCAGAGATCACTTTGAAACGTATTGTTCACAAGCATGGGTAAGAAAACATGATAATCTTGTTATACATTTTGTAACCATATATTTATATTAATGATTGATTTGTATAGTTTACTTGGATTCGAAAAACTATTGACATATGTTACCCAAGAATGGTTACAAGATATAAAAAAACATCAGCTGCCGTCATTACTTGGTGGTGTGGGTCCAATGTATTCGTTTGTCAGACTAATACAAGGCTTCAGAGATCTAGTGCAACTCCCTATTGAACAATACCAAAAAGATGGTAGAATAGTGAGAGGTTTGCAAAGAGGTGCCAATTCATTTACTACATCTACTGCAATGGCAGCTCTTGAAATAGCCACCAGAATCGTAAATCTTATTCAGGTTTGTAAGAATTAAAGGTGTATAGGTTTAAATAAATGGTGTTTATATTTGTTATAATTATTTTGTAGAGGGTAGCTGAAACTACTTATGACATGGTAAACCCAGGACCTAGTATGCGTCAACTAAGGCTACAAGAAGGGAAGAAGAGGAATCGTCATAATAAACGATCGCATCCTGCCGACATTCGAGAAGGAGTAGCAACTGCTGTTATGTTGGTTAAAGAAGTAAATTTGCTTTATTTCAACACTTATTAGACATTAATAATAATTAAAACTTCTATATTATGATGGCGTTAAAAAAGTTAGAAATCCACGGAAACTTGCTTTCTTAATGACTGTAAGAGTTACCAGTAAAAATAATTAAACAAGTATTTGTGTATGTAAAACCGTATTAATGCCATTATATAAACTTAAGAGAATAGATTAATATATATTAATAACAGAGTAAAGGTAATTATTAGGCACATTTAAATTGTGATTTGAAATTAATTTGAGTTTTTAATATAGTTCAAACATAAATAATCATAGACTGAAATGATCACAGAATAATTTTATATTATCATATTGTAGGCATGATACAATTTTAAAATATTTTGGCTTTTTTTGTTTAAATTTTTAATGGACATTTAAGTTCTAAATTTTACAAAATTGGATATTTAAATGAAAATAAACTATTTTTCCTCTAACAATTTTATTTATAATGTTTGTAATTCAAAAAATATCAATTGTATGAAATGCATGCATTGCCATTACATAATGTGTTATAATGAACTTATTTATACCATTTATGTTAAGCTGTTTTGACTTATTATAATTTATTTATATTATTTATTATAAATTAACAATTATATAATATATAATATAATGTATGCAGTTTTAGGATTACCCGGTTTTTATTAAATATGTACATTGGTATATCTATAAAATTTCAAAATATATTTAACTTTTAAGCAGTTATTTATGAAAATATTTAGTTATCAAAATTAATTTTCATTGGAATCATAAATTATGGAAATATTATTTAATAAAAATGTATTTTATTAAATTTAGTCGCATACTGTATTAATTTAATAATTCCAAAAAACTGTTCATAGATATTACAAATGAATCAATTATTTTACTATAGTTATGTTTATGTCTAAAAACAATATTACTCTCTGTCTAAATGTAATTTAATATTGTTGCGGTTGTTTTAGGGTCTGGGTGAAACAGCACAAACTATAGTTAGAGTGGCAAGTGAAGAGCACGAAATCAAGGGTACTGCTGGTATGGTTGGTGGTGTTATGCGGCAAATACCTCCTACTGCCCTTACACCCATTATACTCGCCAGTCAAGCTACATGCAATGTACTTCAAGGTGTTCGCTGTCAACTAGCGCCGGACGCCCGTGTTGAGGCAATGCAAAAATGGAGGTGCGACTAAACATCGACTATACATATCAAAGACCAAAATACTTTTATTATATTTTCATATATTTTTTTAATTTAATGATTCATTTGTGCATTTTGTTTTTTCAACAATCAAAACTTTTGTCTGACGATTGAATAATAGAATGTGATTGTAGTATATTTTTGCAAAATCTATAGCATGTTCATGTTCTATGTATTTTATTTTTGAAAAAAAACTATATTGAATGGTTAACAGTTGTAAGTAAACTACTTAAACACCAAATGATAAATATAGCAAGTACGAAAATGCAATCTATTATATGTTTTTTTTTCCAATTCTAGTGCCATAATATCGTGGTTCCATTATTTTTAGTCTGTTTAAGACATAATTGTTTTGATTTGTTATATGTTAAATTTTATACTATTATCCAGATGTTTAATTTGTCATTTTGAACATTTTGTACAGAAAATAGGAAAAAAAAAATAAAAATTTTAATTTTGATGATTATCTTGTTTTTTTTTTGTTATATTTTAAATCAAAACCAGTTTAAGAACTCTTAAGTTGAGCATCTAAGTGAACATGAATGCAGAATGAACATACATAACTACATGAAAGACCTCAAGGAACATTATTATTTCCCAATAATTGTATAATGTTAATACTGCGGTTGACTATACCGTGTAGATAACAGTGGTTTATGCATATTTTTAGTCTTATTGTTCAAAAACATACATTCTTACTTGAGCAGTTGAGAGTATATTTAGCATCATGTAGGAGCCCAAAGATTTGTAATTAATATAATCGTACTGTATACTAATATAAATGTCATATAAATTATATAATTTCCGAACTCAGTTCACTGCCAAGTCATTATTATAGTTATTTTAATTATTAAATAATCAAGTATTTAACTAAGAAAAATGTCCGATTACATATTAATATACTAAACGTTTAATAATATATCAATTGTTACTCTTCCAAGAGCATTCTTCATTAGCTTTCCATACACCACTGCCGTCTTCGTACTGCTCTTTTTTAAAAATGGGAACGGTGGTTTTTAGTCTTTCAAGTATAAACGAGACAGCTTCTTGAGCATGTTTGCGATGAGGAGATGATGCGGCAATCACTACACTAGCTTCTCCGACTTTTACTTCACCAATCCTTACATAAAATACTGGTTATTATTGGTTTGTATTAGACAAGCTACGTTTATTATAATTAAAACATAAAAACATAACCTATCAAGGATGAATGTAATTTATCAATTCTTTAAATTACCTGTGATGTATTGCAATGTTCACAACTTCTGGCCATTTTTGTCTAGTCAACACAGTGATACTTTTCATTTCATTCAACGCCATTGACTCGTAAGCTTCGTAAAATAATGTTTTTACTTTATTCCCATTAAAGTGTTCTCTAGTCGTTCCTATAAATATTGATATAGCTCCACATTGTGGCGAGTTGACAGAATTCATAGCAGAGCCAATGTCCAGTTCAGAACTCACAATCTTTAAATCAATCATTTTTTTTTAACCTGACAACAAATTCAATAACCAAACATTTCAGATTTTTTTCCTAGGTTTATAAAAAAAAAACATTTTTGAAATACAATTGATTACTACCTCCACTTATGGGCGGAATAACAGCCACAATATCCTTTTCTTTTAAGGTAATTTGAGAACTGTCAGATATATAATTCTCATTGACAGCTAATATAAATGTGTTTCCTATCGCCAATAAATTAAATTGGTCCACCAACATGGACCGTAAATTGTGTCCAAATAAAGTTTGTGGTAATTGAACAGTCGTACTCTTTACTTTAGACAACTCACGAGCTTGAGCAAAAAATATAATTGTAACATTTACCTCTGTCATCACCTATAAATATAAAATATATTTTAGTTACAGATCCTGATTAATTTGTATTGAAACATTTTGTAAATTATAAAAAATATATATTTGGTAGGTACTTATTGGTTATCTTTTCACTACTTGCCAGTATCGGAATGTCAGGGCTAGTTGTATTAAGTATTAACTAATACACTAAGGGCCGTTCTTACAATGTCCGGTAAAGTGGCGGTTAACGCTAACCGACTGATAACAGATTTTATTACCGGCAGAATTCTTCCGGTTAAGTGTCGGTTAACTTTAACCGGACATCGTAAGAACGGCCCTAAGTATTGCTATAATTTTTGTATTATAATTATAATACTTGAAATTAAAAAAATTGAAAACTATTTATAATAAAAATAAATATATTTGTATGCAATTTATAACCAATTTCATATTTTTTTTTGGTTAGCTAACTATTGATTTATCGCTTTATTTATTAGCAAAATTAAATGGCCTAAAAATGTCCATACCATGAAATGATTGCCGTCACGATGTCACATAAATTAAGTCATCTAAATTTTCAAAAACTCACATCAATGTTTGTTGCCTCATTTGGCTTAACATTTTAGGTGTTAGCATTCAGGCCTCAGGGTCCACAGAATTGTATTCAAAGTTGCCTGATTTGAGTTCAAACCATAGGTCACTCCTGAATTTTGATATACAATTGCCAATAATGGTTAAGAGTGGCGTAAAGAAAAACAATAAGTAACACATACCTGATATAAATATTCATATTTTTAAAAATTTAAAATACCTTTTAAATACTAAAACTTTTTTATAGTGGAAACATGGAAAGGCAATATTTTAAAATTTTAAATAATACGTGCAAGAATGTTTTTGAATAAAATATAATAAATATTCACATAATAATTGGTATGCAGTTAAAATAGTTAAAAATGTTTTCAAATTAATTCACTTATTAGTTAAATCTAAATTTTAAAAATTGTTCAATTGGTTAATTTCAATATACAGGTAGGTAGCTGTGTAAGTATACTAAATTATCTGTTAATGTACCTATATTTATTTATTTCAATATTAAATTAAAATATAAAATTAAATATAATATTTAAAAAATAATAATTTTTGACTACAAACAAAAATTGTTAAAATTGTTTTAAACTGAAAATATATAATGGTTAAACATCAATTAACAATAAGTATTTCAATTGTGTATGGTTTGAAATTTAGTAGCCACACCTATCAATTAAGTTTTAATTTAAAAATGTACACTTCACAAGATAAGAATAAGTACTAGGTAGTTATAAAAAAAAACATAAAAATTGATATATTTATCAGAGTTTAATCAAAATACTCAAACAATTTACATTTGTCTAATCTATATATAGTGAACCATTAGTCATTTTTTAAGTACATAATTCACTACATTAAAAAAAAAATTGAATGGATATCTAATTTAATAGCTATAGGAATTTTATTTTATTCAATTACATATTTTTAGTACAATAATAATGAATTTATGGATAACTATGGACTACAAAAGGTTACCCTTAATTGTCACAAAAAATAGAACAATCAATACTTAACAATAAAAACAAACTGAAATTGAATTGAAAAAATTAATACTCACTGACCTTGATGAACAATTTTAAACCCTCGTTTGGTATTTTTAAAAAACAAAATGATTTTTTATTTAATGTTTGACCATTTATCATTTGAAACACTAGAGAACGAGAGGTTAAACTGTTTGCCATATTAAATAACAAATTTTCTAAGGCTTCCTTAGAGTTACGTAAGAAGTGTCCAATATCAATAATAGTCATAAATCATGCAAGTAACTAATTTCTAATTTATTATATAGTAATATATACTATAATAACTTGAGTCTCGAATACACCACCTATAGCCATCGAGGTATATAAACTATACTGGAGCGCGCACTGCGTATACCGTCCGTGTAATGAAAAACGAGCCGACGCGTTCGATCGTTTCCCCCACCACTGCAGGGCAACTTTAATGCCATGTACCGTATAATAGTACGACGTACCTACTACCTTTACGTGTATAATACATTATTTTTTTCAAAAATTATTAAATTAGGAATCAATAAAAATAATTTAATATCATTTAATTTTTTCAATAGCAAAACATTAAAAGTATTAGCCCTTAGTATAGTATACTCTAAAATATATTTGAGAAATACAATACTTATCATTACTACACATACAATATAAAATTAAAAATACTAATGAAAATATTTTTTATTTCCTTTAAAAATATTAATAACATATAATTTAACATTCATTTACATAATATCATACTAAAATAAATTACATTCAAATTATAAATAAAAGTATAAAAACAAATCAAATACACTCAATGAGTAGTTTTAACAGTTTAAATATTGTTAAATAAAATTAATTTTGTTAATTTCTGCCTTAATGATGATTTATTTTTAAATACTTGTTTAGAGTTTATTTCTTTAACATAATGACGCATTCTTATATTAACAAAACATTGACTTAGTGCCGTAAAGAGGCTATACTCATGACTTGGGGAACCAATATCAACAGAAATAGGATGTGAATTTGGGAAAAAAAAAGAGTACTTTTGTTCAATATATTTTTTTTTTGCTAACATTACAATGTTTTGTTTCACATTGTTATGTAATTTTTTATTTATAACAACAACAGCTTGAAAAGAGTTTTCAAGCTCTTGAATAATATAAGTGATACACCTGATGAAACTATTTTCAATTTCCCCCGATTTACAAAAGATGTAAAGTTTGCATCTTTTACATAGCTATGATCTGTTAGATCACTTTTTACTAATATATCAATACAGTAAGGACACACAACTTTTTTGCAAATATTTTTTACAATATATCCAGCAATATAATCAAGTATTTCATTAGTATATTCAATTAACTGTATTACGATTATTATCGAAATAACCATTTTTGTTCATATAATATATTAGAATGTTTTTGACGAATTTTAATTTTAATAGAAAAATAAGGTTAAAGACAAAAAAACAGTACAAACAATTAACCAAGAGTTCAGAGCCATGAGAACATACTACGTAGTGGCCGGCGTGTGGTAATCTTTTGCCCTGCAGTGGTGGGGGAATCGTTCGAACGCGTCGGCTCGTTTTTTGATAACGAGTGCGCGCTCCAGTATAGTTTATATACCTCGATGCCTATAGCATTGATTAAAATATAATAATATACCGTGTGTTCCGAAACTCATCAGATTGGTCAGCCGCTGGATTTGACTGTTCCTAATTTCAGCAGATGACCAATCCGTTTGAGGGGAGGTAATCAAGCCGATTGATTTATCAGCAATCCGCTATTTTACAGATGGACTGACAATTAACCAGATTGATTTGATAACAATTGTTCCCGCCTAAATTAGTGTTTCTTAAATCTTGATATCAGTAATCAGGGTCCAAATTTTCTTTGGTCTTTTCTTGGTCTCCAATCTCCATTGATAGACAGACAGTCAAATTTATTTCCATACGTCCGTACACGTAATATTATAGTCTTTTTACGTTTTATACTTACCTTCATATTCCACTAAACTTTGTGATTCCATGGATATGGATATGGATAAAGAAATAAGGTTTACCATTGAAGAATGTGTGTACGTAAAATATTTTGATATATGTACATTGTGTACATTGTTTGATTATAGTAAGCTTTTTTGAAGTCAACTACAGGTCTTCCAACATTAGTTTGTCGAATATAATAAGGTTTCATCTTGCACATCAAAACCTAGGAGATAGGTATATTGAAAATAATAGTTTTACTGATTATTATAATTTATTTACAAACCTCAACTGAATTCCTGGTGAGCCTAAAATGGCATTTAAAATCTAAGTCATCATATAAACTTATGACCAACATAAAATTTGTTATACGGACTTTAGAACTTTTTAATAAACTATTAAAAAGAAGATATTTCTTTTTATCTAACGAATTGTTTTTATCATCCAAATAATTTAATCCGAAGAATAAAATGCATTTGGATAAATTACTTTCCATATTAAATGAAAATTAAATTGAAAAATTGAAAAATTGAAAAGAAAATTATAAATATGTGTTTTGTATTTTTGTAAAACCACATAAAAATTAAAAAAGTGATAGTATTAATTATTATTGATAGTATTTATCAAATTTGATTGAAGGCTGTTAATATGTTCGGTGGTTGGTATTGGTTACGGGTATCAACCAATATGTTCCAGCGCAATAACAAAAAAGTGTTCCTAAATTATTATCAATCCACTGAACAATCCGCTAGATTCGTTGATGAATTTAGGAACACACGGATAATAATATATTTAATCAATGATTATAGTCGGTAGATAATATGTCGTATGTTGTTATTGTTTTGGAAAACAGCTGATCACGTTAGTTGATAACGCTGGAAAGTAAACACAAAAAGACTTAAATAATAGACAATAGTAAAAAGACACGATTTAATATTAATACTTTATTACGTCTCAATTTTTCACTCTCTTGTTTGCTCATCTCGTTCGTAATATTCAATATTATATTGATTACCGAGAAGTGTTTGTTCACTTACATTACTGTGCAATTATTTCATGTAGCTCGAATAAATTGTGTCAATAAAATCAAAGGTTTTTTAACTTTCAATAACGATTTGGTCGAACGGTCACGAACACCTACTATTCTATCGGATATCAAATAAACGGAATTGAACCATTAGGGGTAGAATATTTGGATATTTATCCTAAATACTGTAGATCAGCGTCTTAATGACTAGTTAACTTATTACATAAACAGACACCAAAGTATTTTATTCCTAATTGTTTGACGTTTTTTTATAGCCCAACAAGTCGAAACAGATCCCATGGGTCGAATATTCCTTGATCACGTAGGTGGTGACCGACTGTACGCGTGTGCTGCGTGCGACACTAACCTGACTAACCGAGATGAGTTGATTAGTACCAGATTCACAGGTGCAACAGGTCGTGCATTCCTATTCAACAAAGTTGTAAATCTCAATTATAGGTACGGTGTGACTTATTTATTAAAACAAGGTACATAAATGATAGGTAGATATTCCTAAAATGTTTTTATTTTAATAGGTATTTATGGTAATAACTAATTACTAATTTTATAACAGGAAATAAACTAGATAAATACAGTAACTGTTAATTAAATTAATTTTATTTCTAAATAACTGAAAAGATTAGTCTGTAAATTATAATGCTTATTTATCCATCTTTTTATCTGCACTTGTGTTAACAATATATTACTTAATAGTTTTTATGAATTCTCAAAATTCTTCACTCCAATGTATTTCTTATTGAAGTTTTTAATTTCTTGTAAGAAAATTGTATAACTCAGAATTACTTTTTAATAGTTGGTTAAAAGCAATTTATTTGAGTTTTTTTCAAGCCAGTCTTCATGGTTAAAAATACAATACACAATATTTTTTCTATGGACTTGTATTGAGACGATGGAATGATTGTTGTTTAAAACATGGTACAATTTATTATAGTATAGAACATATTGAAACACTTGTGTATATAACATTATTACATTATTATTTACATATTAGGTACCCATATTATATTTGAAATAAATATTAAATTATAAATCTTGATCTAAAAAACGTTCGTTTAGTGCAGTGGTCTTCAAATGGTGGGCCCATTTTTGGTCACTTAAGCTTTAAAATTGGGTCGTGATACGTCTTCTTTTTGAAATAAAAAATAAGTTTAATAGATGAAATAAATAAAAATACAGTTTATATAATCTATAATATAATGGATATCAAATCACAGTTTATTCAGTTATAATAGGTAGTATACTATACTATACAAAGCATTAAGCAATTTTAGTTTTTTTTTTTTTTCTACAAAACTTACGTGGGTCTTGAAAAATGTAGTCCTAAAAAAGTGGGTCGCGAGTCCAAAAAGGTTGAAGACCTTAGACCACTGCTTTAGTGTTTAAAAGTAGAATTACTTTTTCATTCATTATTATTGTACTCGTGGTTGTGACTAATGGATGGATACCGCTGAATAATATAAAAATAAAATATATTGCTTAATGTTGTATACTATAATTAGTTCTATATTCATATAAATTTTAATTATTCAACTTACTTAGGTATTTGTTTATTGTTACCATTGTTATAAAATGAAAATTATCTATAATTTTTTTTAGTGATGTGCAAGATCGAGTAATGTTAACTGGTCGTCATATAGTCAGAGATGTATCCTGTAAAAATTGTGACACCAAATTAGGATGGATATATGAATTTGCCATGGAAGAAAATCAGCGGTATAAAGAAGGACGAGTTATATTAGAAAGGGCATTGGTTACCGAAGGAGATGGTCTTGAACATGAAATATAAACGTGCATCAAGATGTTGATTTGTACAGATTTTTTTTTTCTCACTCAAATTGTATTATATCGATGTGTAATATAAAAATATAATGGTACCTATAACTTAAATATAATCAAAAAATAATAAACACAAATTTTTTGATGTTCCATACAAAATACCAGTAATGGTTATGTTATTCAATATTTTATACGCCAAATATTAAATTTTGAATTTAAATTAGTTAATACATTTAAAATGTATCTGTATATATTTGTTCTAATTATATTGCATGGTTATAATGATTAAAATTCTAAAAAAAAAATTGTATTACCGGTACGGATTGTACCTTTATAGCATTAAGTATATTATCTATTAATTTTTTTGTTTTAATCTTAGTTTGTTGACACAATTATTTTTCATGTAATTGTATAATAAAAATAATAAAATGGCTTGTAGTGAGACACAGTCATGAAACCAATTCAAAATGTTGTGATTTTATTTATTAAATTAGCTTCCTCTTCATCTTAGACTTATACACTACTAACCGATAAAGTGCTTGAAACGCACTGAAGAATCAGTTTTACTCTGTTAGAGTAATCTCTGTCAATATTAGAGCTTAATGGCCTATTATCATAAAAACTAAATGTATTATGCAGGGCCCATTGTATGATTTTTGGCACTGACCTTTTTAATCAAGTTATAATCATTTTAAATTTTAAATTGTTTGTAAATTTAAAATGCTCCTCTCCCTTCAAAATAAAAATATAAAAAATGTTCATGTGGAGCTTTGGGTAAAAAATAAAACGGTTGAATTCTATGGAATTGAAAATAATAAAATAAAACAGATTCTCTGAAGGTGAATGTGTTAGCAAGACGGAGACAACATGTCATGGATGTACTAAGTACTCTAAAAGAAAGAAGAAAAAAATCTTCTAAAACTGCCTAGGTTGACTCAAAGTATTGATAATTTGAAAAAATGTATTCGGTAGCATGATCTATTTACAAAAATGTTAGTAACAGTTGCTTATTCGTTCCATGCGCACACTCGTTGAATAGTTCAAAACAACGTCGGTATAGACGTGATTAACTAACTGCAGTGGCGCACCCAGCATTTTTTCAATGAGAGGGTCTATACTTGTTAGAATATATTATAGACATTTTAACCACGGACTAAGAAAAAATCTGATACCTATAATCTATATACATACAATACATTTTTCATGAAAATATAAATCAATGTTAAATAACATTTTAGAATTTGAGAAAAATAGAAAATACATATTATACCTACTTAGGTATATTACTATTTTGGTAATTACAAAAAAAAAGTAAAATAATCTAAACAACGTTTGGAATTAGCTAATTAACGTATTTATAATTCAGATATTATACCTACTGACGTCAAAATTAATATTTAGACAGGTATAGTGGCCAGAGAAATAAAACAAAAAAATACAGGACTCCTAAAAAAAAACAAAATAATAAATTATTATATTATATAATATAATGTATATTATTAATTTACCTATATAATGTTATTAATGGTAGTACTAAATTAGTAGCCAATACCTGATACGCAAATTCACTTTTATTTCGATACTTGATTAATTAAGATTATGCATAGGTACCTATAGGTCATAATCTATACAAATTATAATATATAAATTACCCTGAAACCAATTAAATTTAATATAATACAAATTAAATGTCAATGTAAAATGCAGCTGATGATAATACTATTGTCAATAAATGTTTTTTTTTTCAATTTTCGCCTATTCTGTTTTATATCTGCCACCGCCATACATATGTCTACCATGCTCTAGAAAATATACCAATTTCCATATTGTACGAAAAGATTTTTGTATTTTTATTGCTAATAATAGGTAGTTTGTGTAGAATTTTATTATTCTAAATTAAATGAATAAAAAAAATTATCTTATATATGTATAGTCAGAGGAGGGGGTCCAGGCAGAGGACTCCCCCTGGGTGCGCCACTGAGTCTAACTGGTTAGTTACTCATGGGTATAGATAATATGTATTATTTTTTCATATTGGTCATCACTCATCAGTCATCTGCTTACGAGTGTATCAAGTATCAACCACGCCAAATTGCTTATTATATCATATAGAATTATCATATAACCAAAAGACTAAAGAGTAGGTACTCCGTACTCGTACGTATATTATACATTTATACATAAATTTCAAGAATGAGTTTTTTTATTATTTAGATGATAATTACTAAGCGTATGGCACTTGAAAATATATTCCCTAAGTTTACGTGATAACTTAGTATAATTGAAAAAAAAAGGTGCTCTGCTGTACAGTAGGTTACAAGTGGGTCACTGCATAATGGATAGTATTAAATTTGAATTCAATGATATAATATCATTGTATAAGAAACACGATTCTGAGCTGAGACGGTATGTCAGTCTAGGTATAAGACATATTATATACTTATATCCATCGTATTAAATAAAATTTACCTATAATAAATTCCAAATTAATCATATCACAATATCCATTAGCCATTAGGTACTTATAATATTATTGTACGTCAACAACAAACCCTGATACTATCATAGTCCATACTCCATAGATATATAATAGTGTACTTTAGAAGTTTCAAGTTACCATGAATAATATTACACAATCACAACAAAATAACTAAAATAGTTATTCTAGGTTTTTATATATGTAATTTTGTCCAAAGTTGAACTTAAAATGACTATAAAAAAAAACTGTGCTTATGTAATTTTTAGATTTTTTGATAACAAAATTAACTACTTAGTGGAATCTTGTTTTAAATTTTCAATCCTTAGATATAAAAGTTGAACATTTATACATTTTTAACTACAAAAATATTATTCAATTTTAAATTTGATAAATTTTATCAAAATTCGATCTTTAAATGCTTATAAAAAAAATTGTGCCTATGTATTTTTAATATTTTCAATTGATATTGTAACAATATATCAGGAGCCTTGAATTAAATTTTTAAACTTTGGCCCAACAGATAAAACTTTATTGATATTTATAGAAAAAAAACTAAAAAAATTGAAAACTGAAAATGTCCTATTAAGTTCCACGGAACTTAAGGGTTTCGTGGGAGTGTAGGATAATCTCAAGGGTTCCGCCAGAGGTATGTCGTATGTGAATATTGAGAAAATTATTATATATTATACCTACTTTGAAAAAAAAAGTTCACCTTAATTATTTTAGTTAGGTACCTACTAGTATAATATTGCTCTAAATTAGGTATTCGTTTTACAGACATTGAGGTTCCACGAAACTTCTTCCTAAGGGTGCCGACTGCCGAGGTCGTAAAAGTTTGGTAACCGCTGGCTTAGATGTTGGACATAGTAATGTACCTATTTCGCCTATAAGATACGCTGTGTTGGTTATAATATTTAATTATTTTAGAAGAAGCAGGACATCGAATTCACGGGCATGTTCACACTTTCACGGATAACTCGCTTTACGTTTAGCTCATGCAACGTTTGTCGTCATCGACACTGTACATTACTCCCTACGTTTAGCACGGCTAATATGCTGAGTGTTAGTAATGGCAAATGTGTATATATTTATGAAATATATATTATGCTGACGCGATGTTTAGCTCACATCGTGTTAATAACCGACCGGGACTCCAGGCGGAAAATAGAAATAGTCGGTAGTAGCAGTCGATAGTCGATGGAACCAGTCTAGAGTCTGGAGTAGAGAATCAATAGTCATAGTGGATGGTCGATAGTGGAAGTATCGATGGGCGACAACGACCTGAAGAGAACCCGCGGACGACCAACTCTGAGCTCAATACATATCGAATATCAGCACCCACGACACGTCGACACATCATGGCCGATGGCCCGATCGATAACCTTCAGTTATAATATATATATGTATATCTAATAATTATTATTTGATGTTCGATATATTATAAGATTCGATGTTGTAGTAATAATAATACATTAATGTTTAATAACAGATACATACATATATACGTTGAGTACTTTACTTCACATAAGGTAACCCTGATCGAGGGCGGATAGGCCATTTTTGGCATACCGGAAAATTATTAAAAGGGGCCCCCAAATGAAAAAAAAAAAGCTCCCAAGTACATTATTTGGTGAATTATATTATTAGCTACCATATCAAAAGAAAACAATGTATAACAAACACATTTTTAAAATTGTTTATTTATTTTTTAATTTTAAAATAATAACAACCGTAACCGTGATGGTTTTTGCTCCAATTTAATTACTTGTAATTTGGACCACCAATAGGTACATTTAAGCGAGTATGTAATTTGCACCAAAATATAAAAATTAAACATGTGCTTTCCGCCACCTCTAAAAACTAATTTTGGTAATTTGGGCCACGACGGAAAACGAAATGGAATATGTAATCCCAACAGATAAATTTACTGACATCGCATCGAAAATACGATAATAACAACGCCTGCCGGATAGAATATTATTATTGTGTTCTACTAATAATAAATAGAGAAGAGATCGATTACGTCTAATCTAATAAAAATTATCAACTGTCAAAATATCGAACAATATTGAATAGCAGTATATCCAAGCCTGGGCATAAACGAGTTAAAAAATTAAAGTTAAGTTAAAACTTAAGTTAATTTTAACTTTTAGATTCTGAGTGGAACGATGAATGTATTGATTTTACAATGATGTGTGTTTTTTTTTGTGTCTGTCATCACGTTTTGGGACAGTAAAAGTGATTGGGTTTTCTTCAACAGTAGCTTTTCTGATAGGAAAGTGAATCTAGTTGGTACTTTGGGAGGTCAAAATTTAAATTTCCCAGTAGTTTTCAAAAGCGCCGGGAAAAACAAAAGAAAAATTAAGGAAAAACGGGAATTTTTACGCAAAATCTGTTTTCGAGAAATTCGATTTTGGTTTTTGGTGTAACTTTAAAACAAATGACCGTAGATACATGAAATTTTCAGTGGTTGTTTATATTTGCATTTTCTATACACGATAACATTTTCAAAATATTTTGATTTATTTTGAACTGTTTAGGGACATTTTCAGTTTCCAATTTTATTAGTTTTTTTTTTTATGAATATGAATAAAAATTTATTTGTTGAGTAAAAATACTTGAAAATTTAATACAAGGCTCCTACTATATTGTTTCAAAGACAGATGAAAAATATTGAAAATCGTTAGTCACAGTTTTATTTTTTAAGCATTTAAAGTTCAAAAAATGACAAAGTATGGAAAAATCACGAAAATTTACAAATTATTTCGAGTTAGAAATTCATAAAAATTTTTCTTTTTAAATCTAAGATATGAAAATGAAATACACGATTCCTTATAAGATTTCCTACATTTATCAAAAAAAAAAATTCTATAAGAATGTCAAATTAAATTTTTATGAGCGTTTGAAATTCAAATTTTTACAACATTGGATATTCACTCGATTTCTCATGTAGCGATTTTCTTATTTTGTTGTAATTCCAAAAACGAATAACTGTAGATACATGAAAATTTCACTGAATGTTATATTAGCATTTCCTATACACCATACAATTTTGAAAATATTTTGACTCTTTTTGAGCTATTTACGGACATTTACCGATTTCAATTTTCTTTAGTTTTTTTTCTATAAATATCAATTAAGTTTTATCTGTTGGGCCAAAAAGTGTAAAAATATAATACAAGGCTCCTGATATATTGTTACAATAGCAGTTAAAAAATATTATAAATACATATGCACAATTTTTTTTTGTAAAGCATTTAAAGATCGAATTTTGACAAAATTTATAAAATTGAATAATTATTTTGTAGTTCAAAATTTATAAAATGTTCAACTTTTATATCTAAGGATTGAAAATTTAAAACAAGATTCCACTAAGTAGTTAATTCTGTTATCAAAAAATCTAAAAATTACATAAGTAATTGCATTACGTATTGAATGTCAACCCCATGATTATCAACCTGTATTACAGTGCCTCCATTTGTCTACCCTACCTATGTGACAGGAGGAAACAGGCTAATCTTACGTTCCTTACTAAACTAATAAATGGTGAAGTGGATTCCCCTGCCCTCCTATATAAACTTAATTTCAGAGTTGCACGTTTTTACTCCAGATGCTCCTTCCCTTTCCAAATTCCTGTTAGCCGCTGTAACTATTTAGTAAATCGTCCTATTGTTCGTATGATGAAACCAGCGAATTAGGACCCACTATTCCTGAATGCTTAGCAGTAAATTATTATCTGTTGTTCTATTTTTTTTTTTATTATTTTAATTGTATTTTGTAATTTATGCAACGTTCTCTTAGTTATTATGTTATTATGTCTATTTGCTCTATATCCTAATTGTATATTTGTATTTTTGTAATTTATGTAACTTTCCTTACTTTATGTACATTCTATGTAATTGGGCACGTCCTGTATTTCAATTAAAAAATAAATAAATAAATAAATAAATAAATAAGCACAGTTTATTTTTATAGTCATTTTAAGTTCAAATTTGGACGAAATTACATAATAAAAAACCTAGAATAACTATTTTAGTTATTTTGTTGTGATTGTATAATATTATTCGTGGGTACTTGAAACTTCTAAAGTAGGTACACTTTTATATATCTATGATAGTATCAGGGTTTGTTGTTTATGTATAACGCGTTATAAGTACGGTAGTACCTAATGGATATTGTGATAGGATTAATTTTAAATTTATTATAGGTCAATTTTTTTTAATACCATAGATAAGTATATAATATGTCTTGTACCTAGACTGATATCATCTGATATACCGTCTCCGCTCAGAATCGTTTTTCTTACACAATGATATTATATCATTGAATTCAAATTTAATACCATCCATTATATGGTGACCCACTCAAACATACCATCCATTATATAGTGACCCACTCAAACACATGTACCTACTGTACAGCAGAACAACTTTTTAATTATAATATATACCTACAAGTAGGTAGGTACATATTTTATAATTCCATTTTGAGATTTTCTTCAAAATTAAATTGTTTGCTGAGTGGCCTTTATTGTTACAAATAATTATATTAAATATAGGTACTCAATTCTATATAAATTATAACTTACAACTATAAGAAATATTAATAAAGAGACTAATGAGTGATGATTTAGCCATTTAGGTCGATTTAAAGATTAAAAAGGAATTCGTCCAGGAATCAGTTTTTTTTATTATCCGTTGTAATAGCAGACTAGTAAAACTTGATGGCCCATGATAAAGTGGGAAGTAAGCGCTATTACTTCATTTACTGACTACATGTGCAGTAAGAACACTCCTGTACAATCCATACATACCATATTTTTGTCATTACTCTTTCTGTTTAAGCATATTACCTACTATAATTTGAAAATGGTCTCTACTAATAATAGTTCTCTGGCTCAATGTTTATGATTTGTTTTAAACAGGAAATTCATCTGAAGATTGATCAAACGAGTAAATATTATTGAAAACAAAATAATTTCTTATTTTAATTTGTATTTCCCCTTATTACATTTTTATTCTCTAGAAATTTAATTTACAAAATTGTACAACCATATTATATATATTATATATATATATATATAAAAAAAAAATATTTTTAAAAACATTTAATCATTTTTATTTTAGTTCAGTGCTGGCCATTAATAATTAAGTAGGGTCTAAGTAACAATACATCAATGTATATATTATATACAAATAGACCATAGACTTGATAATATTTAAGTGCATCCTAATAATAAAAAAGATGCATTCAAGTATTTGTCATTTCTATTGCAAACAACAATAATTTTGTGTAAAAGAAAAACAAAATATAAATTATACATTTAATAAACAACATATGGCGCCCATTTTGAGTGGTAATATTATATTCCATTTGTGTATGTGTTAGTTGCTTTAGGTTTTTTACCTTTCAGAACTGTTGGTTTGCCTTGAATAATGCCTTTTTTCTTGCGGGCAGACTAAAAAACAAAAATTGTATAAAGTATTAACATGCTTTAGTTATTATTAGTAAAATACTCTTTTTCTGCATGTTTTCATGCATTTTAAGATATGTATATATTTTATATACTGTATGTCCGCGAAAACAGGGTACACTATATAATTAAATTAGGTTCCCATATTACTCAGTACCCAGTACCCTATAACTACATACTAATGATTTCTGTTTGCAGGACATGAAACTAGACTGAAAAATATGTAAAGGGTACTGAATAATGTAGGTAACTGAGTTACAGAGGGTACACAGTTTTTGCGGACATCTGGTGTATTTACAAGTATAAAAATATATCATAGATTTAGGTCTGTAGGTACCTTTTTTGATATCGCAGACGCTCCAGGATTACGAATTTTTCTCTCCAGTACTGGTATACGTGGTCTATTAAACTCATCTGGTTTTTTTACCCTGTATATTCTGACCAACCAGTGTTCAGTAGTGTACGCCTCTTCCAAATAGGTAAGGTCAAAATTTTGGTTACCTATAACGGCGTTACGAGTGCGATCAAAACCAGCAGGTGTCCTAAAATCCAACTATAAACAACATAGTTAATATTTTTCAATTAACATAAAAATGAAGGTATTTATGCATACTTTCAAGTCACCAAATCTATAGTAGCTAAGTTTATACATTAAACAATTGAGCATGGTTGGTGAGCCCTGACTGTCAATTCTAAATTCACCCCGTTCAGTAAAGTAGTCAGATTCCTAGATAAAACCAATTTAATAATTAAAAATCAATACTAAAAAAAATGTCTATTTATTTTTACTCTTATATCTTTAGGATGTTCGCCTTCAGCAATCCGAACCATCCATAAGAATTTATTAATATCATCGCCCGAGTATCCAATTACACCTCCAAATATAACAAGGACATAATCAACATCAAGTGATGTCATTATCTCATATGCTTTTGGCTCAGTTGACGACATCGCTTTTCCAACAAGTGCTATATGACTATTATTCCAAGTATTATTATCAACTAGTGTTGTGCGATTTGCCATTCCAGCTATTTGATAACCATAATCCCACCAAGACATAACACGAGCATCATTGTCAGTGTTTTGGGATAGCCAATAGTAAGCTTCACGAAAATCATCTAATATTTGCCGAGATCTAATTAAACAATTATAAATAAACTTAAGTAATAAGATGTAAGAAAAAAATGATCTAATGAATAAAAAATATTGATAGATAATGATAAAACTATATATTATATAGACATCTTACCCATCATTACTGAATGAAGCTAGTACAATACTAGGACTAGAGTATGCATTACTGGTGACCCATGTACAATGGACAACAAACATCATGAGTACAAGTAACATAGAAATAGTCACAATACTTCTAATGTTTGATCCCACACCTTCTCCATTATTATTATCACTGTTCAATGAAGCAATCGTTGGTGGCTTTTTTTTACTCTTTCCGGAGCCAGAGCTAGATGACTATAATAAAATAAACAAGTAAAATTTAGTGTTATACAACAATAATCATTAACTTTTTATTAATAGTTAAATTTGTAAACATTAAACTACTCAAACAAATATTTTGCTAGGAAATAATGAAGTATAAATGTTATCATTAAAAAAATTAATAACATTTTTTTTTAGACAAATGATTTTTTATAACAATTTAAAATTATGTAAAAAAAATGTTTACAAAAATGTGAATAATTTTTTTAAATAATGAGTTGCGTATCAAATGGTTTACTGGTATACATTTATTAGAATGAAGATAGTATATAAATATAAATAAAATAAAAAGTATATAAATCACTGCATAATCAAAATTATAAAATAAATGTATTTACTCCGATTCGATATTGATATTGCAAACTTTTTTTCGGAAATTTAGGTATTGATAATTGTAATATATCATACGATATATCGTTAATCGTAATATAACGATAACCGAAATATATCGATAATCGATGTACAACAAGCTGAACTGATTTTAATGCCAGAGCTCTTGAATAATATACTTTAAAACAATACCTAACCTAATCTAACTAATACCTACTAGTTACTACCCAATACCTAGTACCTAGTCAATTGAGTATTGAGTGACTATTGACAATTATGATGGTCATAGAGATATTGGAATATAGATACCAAAATTTTTTTTCCATATCGCCCAATTTAAAACGATATCGATATTCAAAAATATATTGTTTATTTAAGAAGCTTAGTATTTACTTGTGATGATTTAGAAGGAGTCTTATCCTTAGAAGGCTGTTTTTCTTCAACTGTTTTTGTTCCATTGCTAGTAACTGGGCCATCCTCTTTTAAATAATTTTCAAAAATTTTGGAAAACGCAATACCACTAAGAATACATACAGCTGGCGTCAAAGTTAACATTAATCTGACCATAACACCCGCAAAGTATACAGCACTCAGGGCATATAAAACCACTAAATAAACATATGAAATTTATGAATATTCTGACTTTTGATAGGTTTAGTTTATTACACATTCATACCAAATAGTCGCTCATCGTTATACTCTTGAATACAATACCACAATCCAGCAGGGAATATACAAACAAGTATATGGAGATCAAAGAAAAAGCTAAACCATGTTGTCGGTTGATGCTCTGATACTGATGCAATTATAGGTATATGTATCTTGGCATATGTTGTATCCCATAGGGAATAAAATCTAAAAAAAACAAACAACATTTGTATAAATATAGTAAAAATATTTTAACATTGAGATGTAAGCATTTAATTGAATATTTTAGACATTAAATGTATTTGATTGTTTAAAAGAATAAATACCTTCCACTCCATGGTGCAATCACTCCAGCCCAAGTTAGACCAACTACAGCCAATAGTACAATACCAGACGTGACTAGTGTTGCAAATATAAAAATAAATTTAAACTCAGCTTTGGTGATACGAGTTTGAATATAATTAAATGTGCCAGCAGCCATGACTAAAGCAAATACTCCTGATGCTGCCATGTGCTCACTGGTCCTAATTGGTTGAAAACCAACGAAAGGAATTTGCATACTCAAAACCAAACCAAGTATGTAGAATACAGTGTAACTTGTGAATAAACGATATGAGTAACGGCCCATAATCAGCAATAAAAAAACATGAAGAGGAATCAAGTTAATAATGAATACATATCCACCCCAAGCTGATACCTAAATGATAAATATAATTAACAGTTATTGATTAAATTTTCAGAAAATTAATTATTTATCAACATATCCAGGACAAAAAGTTAGATTTTAAAAAAGTCCGGACTCATTTCTTTTATTATCAGACTAAAAGTTTGAACACATTTTTGAATTGGACAAAAAGTCAAATAGAAATTATTGAATACACAAAAATGAGTCCAAACTATTTTTAATTCATACTATTAGGCTGATACTATTAACTCACCATGTAGAAATAAGACAGTGCTGTAAGCACTGACCAAAAAACTGAACCAGTTTTGATAGACTTCACCTAGAATTTAAAATTATATTAAAGCATTTATAAGTAAATGTTTTATTATTTTAAATTTAGGTATCATATAAAAAAATTTTATGCAAAATAAATCAATCATTTTCATAATAAGTTACTTAGGTATCTAATAATTTTTATTAAGATCTAAAAAAATATAGTTACATACCCAAAGATAATAGGTAAATTGAAGAGCAAATATAGCAATTCCTTCATTATCATAGCTTCCAGCTACTGATCGGCTTATATAACCAGGTACAATTGCAATAAAACAGCATGCAAACAAACCGGCACCCGGAGACCAAAGTTCTTTAGTCAGGAAATATGTTGATATTGCTGTCATACCACTAGAATATAAAAAATAAATAGTTATATTATACCTACAAATAATAATATTTAACATTTATACAGACACAAGAGATTTAAACCACTTTAAATAGTGTCTCAATCATTCCATCAAATACACTGTTAATTCCTTCCCATCACTAATGCTAAAATGGTCAATGTATTATATTAAGTAAAAAAAAATATTATGAAAGATTACTATCACAATGAACACCCGAGAAAAACTTTATAACTATGAATTACATTGCATTTATAACAAATTAACAAATAGGTAGAATTTAAAGAGTTGAGTTTTGATCATTAATTATTAGTTATAGTTTACCTAGATATGTGACTTTAAATAAAACTACCGCTCTAAATAAAATCATTTTCTGTAAATAGGTTTAACAATATCATATTTGATTTAAAATTGAAAATACAAAATAAATATAACAACATACTTTTAGTTAGACATTTATACTGTAAAAATAATAAATATAGTCTGAAAAAATTATAAAATATGAAAAAAAAAATCAATTTTAAGGATATTATTATATAAGCAACAATGCTTATAAAACAAAAGTAATATCTTTTACCTGAATATGGGTGCCAGGAACACACAAATATCTCTGATATGTACAGGAATGTTCAAGGCATGCAAGATATGGTGTATAGCACCAGAAGTGACCATCAATCCTGGGTAGACAGTGCCACCGACAATCCTGCCAAGCGGGTACCATGCTCTCTCGTCGAACCAGTTTAGGAAATTATAGAAACCGTGTTCGACCATGTATGCTGTTGCACGGTAGTTGAACCTATAACACACGCAAATTATCGTCGTGAATTAATGACGCCGGTACATTATAATATGTGTGCGTACACACGGCTTGTGACTTTTGTCAGTACCTACCATGGGTCGAATTCGTGGATGATGCTCTCGAACCGTATGACGGCGAACAGCCGGGCGGAGAACCCGGACACCCATGCCAGGAAGAGGATGGCGAATGTGATGAGGCTTTTCCATCCGGCCGGGTTGGTCAGCAACGTCTTCATATTGACATCAGGGTTTGTGGCAAAGAAGTTAACTCACATAGATCGTGATAGTTCGCTCGAACAGATTTGACGCACTGCAGAACGAATATTACAGGTAACCGTCCACCATCGTTGTATATTATTAAAGAACTATTATAATTATATATATATTTCAACTTTCAACGTGACGGGTTACAGACCGGGCGAATGAAGTACTTTCGGCCCTAATCACTATTCTATGCTAACTTGAACACGTATACCGAAGACGTAGTGTGCCAGTGCCACTGAACATAAATTGTATTTATTATTTACCCGTAAACAGTAACAAGCCGGCAACATGACGTCACCAATTGAGGTTAAAAATCCACCGGATGAGTTGGCAACCGAATCGTCTGTGTTATCACAGAATAGATGAAATTTCATCGCTGTGGCTAGAGTCACGGACACCGTGAATATAATGCGTTCACGGACATTCGATGCGCGCATGCGCAAATACTATATTTTGTTATCATGTCCGGGTATCTACTGAGTATCCGGACACTGATAAAATTATTATCATATTATCATTATTTAATACGTTTGTCCGTACACCAGACAGTAAATAAAAACGGTTTATATCACTAGAAAAAAAAACGGTTTATATCACTAGAAAAACGGTTTATATCACTTTCATGGATGAAAATATCATATCAGTTTGGCTTGGAATAAACAACAATTAACATTATCGCAGGCCGCTGAATTTAAAAATATTTAATATTTATAATATATACAAATACAATTTCACAACTGACCATTGCCGTACCTGGGGGGGGGGTTACCCCCCGAAGGCCGAAATGTTTTCAACATATCTTATTTTCAACCAAATATCAAAACATATAAATTCAATAAAATTACAATATACATGTTATGGACCCACCTCCGAAAAAATTTCTGGATGTGGCCTTGCAACTGAATATAATATAATGACATAAATTTCCAATCATATTGTGTACTACTTTACTTAGTATATTTATTAGGCAGTGGTAATGTGGTATTTAGATTATGTCGATTATGTTTTATGAGTCTTAACATAGTAACTGGTAAGACAAAAAGTAATAACATATTAAACTATATACTTATGTATTATTTATGTGTTTAGGTAGTTTCAGGTAAGCATTATATAAGATTGTTAATTTATTATTCATTATTATTCTCTTAGGCTCTACGCCATACATGTCAGCTTATTGAACTTAAATAAACAATCTTACATATACAATTCATTAATTATTTATTAATTCATTATTTTTTTTATATATGGTCATATGGAAATAAATCATTATACGTTATTGTTTATGTTCAATGTCATTAAAATTGAAATATTTATCTCGTATAAATATAACTGAAGTTATATTGCTAAATTCAAAACAAATTACTACCAATCATACCAATATAATAAATGCATATTTAATATACGCATACAATTAATAGTGCTTTATGATAGACAACTCTGACTATATTATGTACTAATGAACTGTATAACACTATCGGTTAATTTTCTTCACAGCCCCCGTTTACTTAAGTGTAATTTATATTTTTACACTAACCATGATCAACATCTCAAAAAAGTAATAATATTCTAGTACCAATAATATAAATAATAATGTATATAACATTTTATATATAATATATTCATAACCTTTTTGAATGTCTGAACACTTAATATTTTATAACATTTTTGTGTAACACAGCCATAAAATAAAACAGTATTTATATAAGTTTTTAAATTTTATAGTATATTAAACAATGCATAAATAGCTCAAAATAGTTTACATACATATTTGTCATTAAAAATTATAAAAGTAATGAATACAGTTTAAAAAAAAATCAGAATCTGTGGAACACCACTGATCCTTATTATGGTTTAAGTGTTAAACTGTGTCATTATTATTATTATTATTATTATTATCAAATTATTATTTGTTTTAGAAAAATGTAAATACCAAGTTCTTTGAACAATTTTGAATTGGAATATTCAAATTGTACCAATTAGTAATTTAGTTATTTGCTGTATTAATCATAAGTTAAATATAAAATCTTATTTAATTATATTTAATACAGTTATTAGATAGATAATACATTTATTAGGGTTTCACTAATGTTTATCATAAAGCTACTTTGAATGACCAAAAATTAATGAATACAATTTCCATAACTCATGTAGTCATGTCTAACTAAATTTCTGAACTCTGAACTAGGTATATGTTGCCACTTTCCTATTCACATCTACACATCCTGGTCTTCGAAGATCTGCACTACTAAAATTGGCTACCTTACTTCTTCACAGTCGGACAATGGTAGTATGGTATAGTCTACAAAATTAAAAAAATACATTTATTAGGGTTTCACTAATGTTTATCATAAAGCTACTTTGAATGACCAAAATTAATGAATACAATTTTCATAAGTCATGTCTAACTAAATTTCTGAAGTCTGAACTAGGTATATGTTGCCACTTTCCAATTCACATCTACACATCCTGGTCTTCGAAGATCTGCTCTACTAAAATTGGCTACCTTACTTCTTCACAGTCGGTCAATGGTAGTATGGTATAGTCTACAAAATTAAAAAAATACATTTATTAGGGTTTTACTAATGTTTATCATAAAGTTACTTTGATTGTCCAAAGATTAATGAATCCAGTTTCCATAAATCATCTCTAACTAAATTTCTAAAGTCTGAACTATGTATATTTTGCCATTTTCCAATACACGTCTATACATCCTGGTCTTCGAAGATCTGCACTATTAAAATTGGCTACCTACTTCTTCACAGTTGGACAATGGCAGTATGGTATACCCTTCAAAATAAAAAAAAAACACAATATAGAAAATAATATTAAGATTTAAAAACAATTTAAAAGAATAATACATTACTTTAAAACCAAGAGAGGCATGATTAATTTTTAATACTTCAATTAAAAAATAAAAATGTCTTTAAAGCGCCCTTCCTCCTTTTTCATACGGACTGAGGACCGTCAATGGTGGAGTTAACACTAAGATTTGCAATTGTGGGCATGTTAATGAATATAATTAACTCAAGATAACCTAAGTTAAGTGAACACAAGATTGTTCTAACTCAAAAGTTGATAGTTAATAAATAATAAATTTAACTGGTTACATTCTGAATTTAAGTTAATTTTAAAACAATTAACTTTTTTTTTAATTTAAACATTTTTACTACCTACCTAGTTAATTCCCACTTTTAAAGATATGACTTAGTTACATAGGTACTCAATCTTATGTTAGGTAATGGATTCCATTTTACTCTACGTGTAATTTATAAATTACACCCAACTTATGTAACCAACCATTCATTACTTACAATAGGTATTGTATTAGTTTGTTTATCTTTATTTTATATTAGTTTTTATTTTGTACTTTATTATTTTGTAATTATAAAATAGGTACCTACTTAATTAATATACTTATTGCATAAGATACAAGTGAAGTTTTCATTTTTCAATTCCTTAGTCATAAATTTGTAGCATACACCACCTACACACACATTATGAACTCTTCGCTCACATGTATTGCACTTAATCCAAGTAAAACTTACTTTTATATTTTGTGCACACATAAGGCATCTTTCACTGATATTATCAGAGTACATTAAACATCGATTCTGCAATGTATTTCTTAAATCACTCACATTAACTTCCTTTGAAAAGCTCTGAGTAGACATTGGATTGTATGTACTACAATAATACAACACAAACACTCCACAACTGTTACTATCATTCTGTAAAGGATACTCAATATTTTTAAGAACCATTTTATGCAGCAAATATTTTGCTTTTTCATTACCACACATTGAAAACAACATTTCTTTTAATCGAGGTAAGTACAAGTCACCTGATTCTGGACGCAGAGGATCCAAGTAAAATACACAACCCAAAATGAAGTCCATAATAAATAAAGTCCAATGATTACCTTCAGGATTGATAGGAAGAAATAACACACAGTATTTAGTCCAATCAAATTTGGCTACTTTAACTTTGGTACTTGACCAAATTGTATTGCTTATTTCCGCAGGAATATAACCAATTTCATTATTCACATAAGTCAATAGCAGTGCGTCAATCACAGTTCCATTTAACCAGGTGTTGTTTTGCAATTTACGAAAATCTTCACCATACAGAGTCACACACTTATGTATGAATTAATTTTTCATTTTAAGAAGTAAGTTAAGTTAATTTATTTTGTTTTTAATTTTATTACATTTCACAATTTCAGTCTTATTTTGTTTTCATGTCAAAATATTTTTACCGTTAAATTTTTTGATAAACCCTGCTACGGTTCTGTTCATAAATATGCCCATTCAACTCAAAGTCCAGGCATAATTTTTATTAAAATATTATTAAAATTCAATTTAGTTCTTTGATTATACTTAAAACACAAAGTTAATGAACATACAATTGATATAAAGTAATTGTTTTCCATTACTTATTGAGATTTTACAGTCAAATAACTATAGAATACTAATTTATAACTAAAACATATTGCATGTTCTACCAGCTGTGTTCATAGACAGAATTAACATTAGTTAATTCATAGCATTTGTGACAATATTATATTATGATAATGTATGATTTTGTTATTATTAAAAGGATATGATATGATGGATAATGTGACATTGTGACTTGATGTATTTGACCACAGAAAAAAGGAACAACAATTCACAAGTTCTGCACATATCCCATTAACCAATATTTGACTCTGATCCATCCATACAGCTTGTAATTTTACTATCCAATCTCAAATTACATAAGCTGAAAATAATTTTAAAATTAATACTTTACAAAAATAAATGTAATTTTATAATATAATACTGATGAATAATACCTTTTAAAATGCATATTATTTTATGACACTAAAAGTCACAAATTATGCATTATTATACTTGTTAGGGAATACTAACATGATATTAATAACTAGTTTGTTTGATGAGACAACACGTGAACTATAACGTCATTTTAGGATAAC